ACAGGGTGCTCCGCATGGCACTGTCCCTCTGGACATGCTGCCTGGCATATGGCGGGTAGAGACCTGCTGTAGACTCCAGAAAGCAATCCTCTGGATCAGCCACTTGTGAGGTGGTCTCCTCTTCCTAGCAAGCCTGTAGATTTTTACGAGAGACCACAATCTCTAGCCAGGAGTTAAGCCTATTACACGACTGATAGAGAAGGGAAACTAATCTACCTTAACCTCCCCTCCATCAGCTGAGCACAGTTTAGCAAATACACTTCTCAGAATTCCCTTTAATGGAGGGGATATGGGGTGAGTTGGCATGGAAGAAAGAACCAGATGGGTCCTTGCTCAAGGGTGAAGGATGTTTCTGAAAGTTATGCTGCAATGTAATGTTTCTCATTTTAGGTTCGCTTTGCTGCTCTGCTTGCTTTGTTAGAACTTGCAGGAAAACTGAAGGAGAACTTCATGGTGCTGTTACCAGAATCCATTCCATTCTTGGCTGAGCTAATGGAAGGTAAAATATTTCTGTTAAGTAGTCTAGTGTAACGGGTGCGGGGAGTGGATCTTCAACAGAAAGCACTGTTTGCTACTTAAGTGAAGATTCAGTAAGAAGTATGTTAGGAGTAATCAGTAACTCAGTATGTAAATCAATACAGAGACTTGAGCAATTTGAACTTAAACCTAGCACACCATGGACTGTCATAACTTTGAACCTCATCAGCTGATCCAGGCTCCCAGCTGCAAGGGCGCATCATGTTGGGATCAGATCAGCTGGGGGTTCCCAGCCATGGGAGTAAGTGGTGCACCCCTGTAGCTCGGAGTCCTGGTTGGCTGATGCTCCCAGGTACAGGGGGGACACCCCATGGTTGGGAGTGGCAGGAGTGCCTGGTGCACCTCCCATGGCTGGGAGCCTCATCACACTCCCATCTGTGAGAGCTTGCTCCTTGCCCACACATGGGAGAGCCTGAAATCATGATTGTGGGCTCCCCCTGCACTGGCAATAAGGCATAATGGGATCTGATGCTAGATCCTACAATCATGCCTCCTGCCAGGCACGTGGCATGGTAGGAAGCATGATTGTGAGGATCCAGCATCAGATCCCATTGCACCTTCACTTGCACATCTGCCAGGGGCCCCGGGGGCTTAAGCTAGTTGAGTGGAATTCACCTTGGTGTAGATGCATACAGTATAGGAGCTCCACGCATCAGCATTGTAAGCATTCCTGTTGTAGTCCTCCTTATACAACAAGTTCTTGAAGTGTGTTTACATTTACTCCAACACTATTAATGCTCCAACACTCAGAAAATATTTGGCCCTGTAACTTCAAAATATGCTTTAGTTTTTGGAGAAGCACCTAATTCTCCTGTCCTGAAAAGCATACAGTCTGAAAAGGGACTTAATCTTCCCTGCCATTTCAAAACAGATGTGTGAACTGACAGGTCTGTTTTCATTGTGTCCCATTAAACTTTTTTCAGATGAATGTGAAGAAGTAGAACACCAGTGCCAGAAGACAGTTCAGCAACTAGAAGTCATTTTGGGAGAACCACTCCAGAGCTACTTCTAAGAAACAGCTGTCTTTGTTTTGTAGTTATGTAATCTAAAGAGCGACAGTTATAACTGACTAGTTCATCTGTGCAAGTATACTACCACAGTAACTTCCTAATAATGTCTTTGCATTGGAGAATACTGATTTGTTGTATTACAGCTAAGATTCTGTACACTGTTCAGGGTTATTACATTTCCACAGCTATTAAAAGAGAGCTGTCATACTAATAACTTGTCATTTTTTTAATACTTCTCAGATTGTTTGAATTGTAGTGTATTATATCTCTTGAAGACTTAGGGGATGGATTTTCCTCAATTATTAGGAGAATAACAAACAAAAAAAATGCTTAAATTTGGTTTCTTTTGAGTTGGCTGCTGTTTTCTTACTAGTCATGGGAGCAGTAAGCAAACTCCTGTCTAGCTAAGTTGTGAATTTTGTTCCCAGTAACAACTCGGTTTCTAAATTGCTAGTCTGATTCTCTATGGGATTTGGGTTTTAAGGCCAACAATCCTTAAGCTAAAGGAAAACAAAAGAACGTTTAATTTAGCTTTACTTATTATGATATAAGCTTGCTCCTCAGTGGGTGTATCTATGCAAGACACTTGGCTGTGCAGTAGATAAGTCTACTGTACAGTAAAGCATCACCATCTACGTGTGCTCACGTTTACTGTGCAGTAAACTAGTCTACTGCACAGTTAGTTTACTATATTTATAGATAGTAGCTATCTGTGCAGTTGATACTGTGCAGTAAAACACATATAGACACTAGTTGGGAGCAAATTTATGGCCCCAGCAGGGGGCCATAGGGAACAGGAAGCTGTCTGTCCCTGGTCCTGGCAATGCTCAGATCCCCCTAGGAGTTGATTAGGGCCAGGATTTGAGAGCTCTCTGCCCCATGTCTGTGCTTCTCCATATTGGACAGAGCTAGCTGCTCGGGAGAGCAAGTGGGGGCTGGGAATCCAGCCCTTGCCTGTCTCCTAGAGCAGTCAGCCCCATGCTGCATGGAGCTGGCTGCTCTGGGGGACAAGCAAGGACTGGATTCCCAGACCCTGCGCAGCACAGAGCTGGCTGCTCCAGGAGACAGGGAGGGCTAGATTCTCAGCCCCTATGTCCTCTCCAGAGCAACCAGCTCCATGTCAAGCAGGGCAGCTGCCGGCAAGCCCCATGCACCCCCACCAGGCAGGAGGCTCACTTGCAGCTGCCCCACAACCTGGACAGCTCCCAGCAAGCCTCCTACCCAGCCAGGGCTTGCTGGTGGCTGTCTATCTGGCTGTGTACAGGATAAGGAGATCTCTGCCTACTGCATGAGCAGCTCTCTCCTGGCCCTTTGCGAATCAGGTCTCCTCCCAATGTGCAGAGCCAGGAAACAGCTGCCATTGTAACTGGCTGAGCTCTCCCAGCCCTATGCCTACTGGGACTACCCCGGTAGGACATGTCGGGGCAGGAGGGGGAGGAGCCTGCAACTCCCCCCTGGCTACTGTAGGCAGGCAGAGCAGGGAAGGACCAACCCTGTACAGCCTGCTCCTATTGGGAGCAACCCTGCTCCCAAGAAGGGAACATGTATTTAGACATGCTCCCCTGTAGGCTTACTGTGCAATATTTTTACTGCACAGTAAACCTACTTCGAATTAATAGCACAGGCAGGTGTACCCAGTAATAGCATACATACTGCCAGTTACTTTTTTACAACTGCCTGGACCCAAAATGCACATCTTTGAAAACTTAAATGTTTAGTCTGTGCCCTGGTTTAATTACTTAATTTCTGAATTGCATGGAAAGAATAGATGTGCTCAATTCAAATCTATGGAAACTGTTGAAAAGGATTTCAGAAAATAGCAGTAGATTTAAGGCGCATATTCTGTATGTACACACAGCACTTTTAAAGCAGGGGGAGGGGCAAGCATCATTGTTCACAAAATTTTAATTTAAGTTCTGCTTTTTTACATTCTTCATACAAGTTTACAGAAGCTACATCTTTTAGATCTTTAAAAGTATTCTTTTAGACATTTAAAAGAAAACAAAAATGTCTTTCAAATCTACTAAACATTTTATTTTCATTGGAAACTGCCTGACCAAAAACCAAAGAATTTAAATTAAGACATATGGGTGTTAGATAGAAATGCTTCCCTTTTTTAGCTTTAAGGATAATACATTTCTAGGGAAATAAAACTGCCAACTAACAGCAACTTTCATTGTAAAAAGTTGTAAATACAGTAGACTTCCTCAGGGACAGTGGTTCTCAACTTTTTTTTCCATGGCCCGGCAGGATTGGGATGGGGCACACAGAGCTGGCTGCCTCGCTCCTGGGTCTCCCCCGCCGCCCGGCTTTAACCCCAGAAGCTCAGCTATGACACCCCGGAAGCTGCTCGCCCGGGCGGACAGGCGGGGTACTCATGCCCAGTGGTTGGGAACCTCTGCTCGGGGAAATACTAATGAAATTGCCCTCAAGCACTCAGCAAAGAAGATGGAGTAGAATATATACCCGCTGCTTGTTTCAGATAGTGCAAGGTAGTAGAGTTAAGTACTCTCATGTTGAACCAGTGGCCAGACTTTGCATATAATGTTCACAGGTGCATCCCTCTTAAAAACAGATACCAGAAAGCATCCCTGAACAGTCTGAATCAGATGAGAACTCTTTGGACTCTACACAGTCCAAAAATGGACAAGATCTAGTAAAATCACTCTTCTACTGCCAACTGAACTAAGTGTGTCACTATCACGTGCCAGTCCAACCTCAGTTGATCTGGCCCATAACACCTACTGCTTCCTTGATGGGTTTATCTTTAACTACCCTAGTACAAGTGGATATGATTAGTCAGGAAGTGGCTTTGCACCACAGGACAGAACCAACAGTGGAAAAAGTCTCATTAGGCCAAGTGCTACACAATAATTTAGGACATGCTTTTAGACTTTGGGCTGAAAAACACTATTATTGTTTAAACATATTATGGACCCGATTCATCAATATATTAGTCTATTTTTATATGCAGTAACTCCAGTAATTTCATTATTGTTCCATTAACATAAA